CCACGATTCGCTCATAGGGTCCTTATTGTCATTGACTTCCTTTCATAGGGGGGTATTTGCTAATTTATTTATCCGAGGGGTTTTTTTGCCAATTAGAGATTCACAGGGGAGCCGAGTGCAAATACCCCTCTAAAATTATATTATTATTCGGGACACAGAACCGAACAGAAATGACTAATATACCCTTACAACTTATAAAATTGGCATTTTGTGTTTCATATATTCTTTATTTTTCGATCGATCATTTTACCATCTTATTCTTACGTGTACACAATTTATTTTTCTTCTTCCCAAAACTCAAAACCCAAAGGGTAAAATTAATGATCATTTGACAACACTAAAACGCTTCCAAAAATGATATCCTTTTACGGGGAATATGATGTTACACCCGGTGATTTTCACCGAGTAGCTCTCTTCTTGACACGTGTCCTTTTTTTAATTTATTTTATAATTATATTTCTAAAACTCTATGGTCTATAACTGAACCCGTAGTGGAAATCTTATCAATTAAGATGCATATTATATTAACTAGGTGTAGTATCGTTATTTCCCCTTTACGATTTGAATTAATTTAAGTTAACGCCAAGTCAATTAGATGTCCAAATAAGCAGTAACAAATAAAAAGAGTTAATGCATCATTTTTAGGGAAAATAATTGAACTTTATTAGACAAAACATGCCAAATTATTCCAAGGAATATAAGATCCTTCTACAAACACACACAGACAGAAAAACTAATGAAAGTTACATAATTTTATTAGCAATTATTATAATGGTGTGGATTCAGGTCCACAGATAATAACAAGCCACGCAAAATAAAAATTAAAACTAAGAAAGAACCCACAGATACCACTGTGTTGAGTCAACCGACCAACTGTTCTTTCTTAGTCTGATTTTTCATTTTGCGTGGCTTGTTATTGTTTGTGGACCTAAATCCAACATATTATAAGCTTGAAATAATTGCTGCAAGTGAAACAAGCTTGGACTAATTAAACACGCAGCTTTCACCTTTCAAAAACCGGACAAACTTCTCAACATAAGCCCGATGAAGATCCTGATTCCCGAATATTTCACGGCCGGCTTTCCGGCACCGCGCTCTGAGTTCAACATCGGAAACCATCCCTTTCTTGAGTGCAGAAGCGACGTCGTTTCTGGTAAACGATCCATCTTCTCCGTCCCTCTCGACTTCAACCCCCAAACCCTTCTCCACCATCAGCTTCGTGTTCAACGGCTGGTCGAACACAAACGGCAGAAGTACGAGCGCGTGACCGTACTGCAGCGTTTCGATAATCGACCCCCACCCGCCATGGAATAGTGACCCACCGATCGAAGGGTGGCCGAGTATCTCCCTCTGCGGGGCCCACCCCAAGTGCACCACCCCTTGCTCCGCCGTACGCTGGAGGAACCCCGCCGGCAGCGCCTCGTTGTCTGGTTTCCTCATTGCCCATAAGAACGGTACGCCGGAAAGTTCGAGCCCGTGTGCAATCTCGTGGATATGTTCTCTGTTGAGTTTAGTTTCACTCCCGAACCCTACGAACACCGCCGATCGCGGCTTCTGCCGGTCCAGCCAGTTGAAGATCGCGGCCTCCTGACGCGGCGGCGGCCGGTCCGGCGGTGTTTCCGGCGGGAGAAGACCTATCGGAATCACGGGTTTTCCGGTGAGCTTCGAGTATAGTCCCAGGTAATCGGGTTCGAAGTCCGTGCACGTGCGTATGGACACGGCGGCGCTGGCTTGGAGCAGTCTCGTCAGCCGGTCGCCGTCGGCGATGCCGGAGGAGTTCACGTCGTACAATACGTGGTGCATAGCTTTAGCTTCGTGCTTGCTCAGAGCCACCTCCGACAGGAAATCGAACCAGTCCGGCGGGGCGGTGAAGTCCTCAGGCGACGGCCTCGCACTCCTCCGCCCCTCCCCGGAGAGAAACTCCGGCGACCAGAAGAAGGCAGCGGCGGCGGCGGCGAACACACAGTGGGAGATGATCGGGATGCTCAGATCCCGAGCAATGTCAACTATCCAGTACGGAAAGAAATCGACCACGATCCAGTCCGGCAACTTTTCCGCCATGAAATCCTTAATCGGTTGTCGGAGAAGGTCGGATGCAATCTTGAGATCGTTCATTCTGTCGACCGTAATGTCGATGGTGGCTTCGGCATATTCCGGGAGGAGGCCGCCGGAATATTCGAGTGGGAGGGGGACGAAATCAATGAAGGGTATTAGGTTAGGTGGGATTTGGGGGAGTCGTTGGATGTTTCTTGGGGTAGAGAGAAATGACACGTGGATGTTGGATTTGGCCAACTCAATTGATAAATCCAAGAATGGAATCATGTGGCCAAATGCTAACCATGGTAGCATCACTACATGAACCTCCTCCTCTCTTTTCTCACTCATCTTTCTCTCTCTCTACAATTAATCTCTCTCTCTCTCTTCTTGCGTGCTTGCATGTGTGTGCTGTGTTATGTAGCCTTACATGCATAGTGAAACGTATATATAGATATAGATATAGATATAGATGATGTGGCAGCGTTATAGAGTTGCTTGGTGGCGGGGACGGCCTATTTTTCTTTTAACATATACTTAATGCGCTCATGATGATATTAGATATATATTAATTATTTGTTCGGTGAATTATATTACAACCACCCATTGGCCACAAAGTATTGTTAATTTACGAAAAAATCCCTCTTGTTTGGATAATTATATCTATCTCTTCAATTATGTTTTTTTCTTACTCCCTCCATTCTTATGGTGTTAAATTCAACATAATCATCTAGATTTCGTGGAATGTGATCTAGTTTGTACTTGTTTTGTGTAAAAATACAGTTTCTGACACACCACTATCTACTATATACAAGCAAAAACAATCTTATGATCATAATCTTGCTTCAAAATATAGAGTTCGAATGGGATAAAACGGGTACAAAAGTGATAATATTCAATGTAATCTCGAAGATTCAACGAAATTTGAAGCCGTAAAGGTGGACGTGTAAGGAGTTTTATAGTTGAGGAGGTGGTTGTAATACCCAAACAAGAGGGGGGATTTTTGTAATTTAATCATATCTCAGGGGTGATTGTAATTTACCCTTATTTGTTCTATGAGATGTTACACTTGATACAAAGTATCGGGCAGTTTTGCTACCACTGAGCACATGTATACATATAAGTGTATGTTATTATATCTAGATCAATTATGCATAATCAGCCGGTGTACTCTATCGAATGTAGCATCTACAAAACACAAAACACAGTACTTATGACATTCATGCCAAATTGCCAATTGATAGAATTTTGGATTGGATACAATTTGCAGTCTTAAAATATAAGTTTAACAATACTTACCATTAAAATTACAAATATGACACCTTTCACTATAACTTTATTAGAAAGTCTTTAAGTTTGATGATGTGGAATTTTTTGTTTCCAAAATGCATTTCCATCGGTTAAGTAAACAACAAATATTTAATAATTTCCTTTTTAAACAACCTTTCAAAAGTGCAGTTTTATTATTTCAATATTCTAAATTTACAAATTAAATTTTTGGAATTTTAGTTTCAATTTTTTTAATACATATTCGTTGTTAGTTAATAAAAAGTTTAGTAATTACTTGGATTTTAATTTTAATTTTATAGTTCATCTAGTTATTTTAATTAATATGACTCTAGTATAAATAAAAATCTCAATCTTACCTCTGAGAATCAAAAAATGCATTCAAAAATCAATAGTTCACAACAAATCATAATTTGATCATTAAAAATTAAATATTTTTATTGTGAAAATTTAAATTTAAGGACCTGATTTTTTTTTTCAAAATCAATAATTTATGTCAAAAAAAGGTTGGACGTTTAAGTCTTGAAAATAACTTTTTTTTCTCATGAATGTTTGACATATATATATATATATATATATATATTAAAATTAATTGATATTTTTATTTATATTAGAGTTATATAGTACTAATTAAAATGCAGAGGTAAACCATAAATCGAATAATATTTTTTACAATTATTATGTTTTATAAAATTATTTTTTCGAAAGATTGTTGAAAACATATAATTCCATATTCATCTCTATATAGTGGCTAAAAAAGGCATTTTGGGAAGGAAAAAAAGTCACATAATTAAAAATGAAAGTCTTACCATTATATTCATTAATTGAGGGGGTAAATATTACATTGTAACTTGGACAAGTATTACTACAACTGTATTTTAAGGGTGCAAACTGTATTTTCACCTGTTATATAATTTTACTAAGCACTGAATGTTATACATTTTTTAATGGGGAGAAAAAATAATAACTCAGCCATTGAATTCAGGAAATTAATTTGGAACTGTGTGGGAGATGGTTGTTTGGGAGATGTTGGTGGTGCCCTACATAAATAAGCGGGTAGTTAGTGATTTTTAACAATGCAATTATATACGTGCCAGGCTAGATTCGCGTGTGTTCGAGAGAGCGGGTTTGTTTTTTCTTTTT